TGTAACGACGAATATTGTTATAAAACCTCTTTAATACTTGTTAAAAATTTAACTTCTACGCTAATATTAGGTACTCCATTTATTACACAATTATACCCATTCTTAATCAATCAAGATGGTTTAATCACCAAAGTATTAGATAAAGAAATATTTTTCAAATTTGCTAGTCCAATTGTTTGTAGTGAGTTAAATAATTTAACTAATAAAATTAATCAAGTAAAATTCTTAAATGAAGAGATAAACAGTTTAAGAATTTCTAAGAATTTATCAAGTTCATTYATTCAAAATAAAATAAAAAGAATAAAAGAAAAATTCGAAAATAATGTTTGTTCAAATATTCCAAATGCTTTTTGGAACHRAAAAYAACATATAGTCAAATTACCATAYATTAAAGAATTTGAAGAGAAAAATATCCCTTCTAAATCAAGATCTATTCATATGTCTTCTGAATTACAAGAATATTGTAAAACAGAAATTCAAGATCTACTTCAAAAGAAACTAATAAGACCTTCTAAATCTCCTTGATCATGCTCAGCATTCTATGTTATGAATGCTTCTGAAATAGAAAGAGGTGCCTCTCGACTTGTAATAAATTATAAACCCCTTAACAAAGTATTAGAATGGATTAGATATCCCATTCCACATAAAAGAGATTTACTCAAAAAATTGCATGAAGCATAAATCTTTTCAAAATTCGACATGAAATCTGGATTTTGGCAAATCCAAATTCATGAAAAAGACAAATACAAAATTGGTTTTAATGTTCCTTTTGGTCATTATGAATGGAATGTTATGCCATTTGGTCTCAAAAATGTTTCATCCGAATTTCAAAATATTATGAATGATATTATTAATCCTTTAAGCGATTTTGCCATCGTTTATATTGATGATGTTTTAATCTTTTCAAAATCTGTTGATCAACATTTTAAACATTTAGATCTATTTTATAATTTAATTCATAAAAATGGTTTAGTTGTCTCTGCATCAAAAATGAGTCTTTTCCAAACCCAAATAAAGTTTTTAGGTCATGAAATTGTTCATAAAACTATAAAGCCTATTCAAAGAAGTCTAAAGTTTGCTAATAAATTTCCAGATGAAATCAAAGACAAAACTCAATTACAAAGATTTTTAGGRTGTTTAAATTATGTTCATGATTACTTCAAAGATTTAGGAATAATTTGTAAACCACTTTATCAAAGACTCAAGAAAAGTCCTAAACCATGGACTCAAGAACATACCCAAATTGTTCAACATATAAAACAAAAAGTCAAATATTTACCATGTCTTCATATTCCTAACCCTAATGCCCAGTTAGTAGTCGAAACTGATGCTAGTGACGTAGGATTTGGAGGAATACTCAAACAAAAGGTAAATGATCAAAGTAAAGAAGAATTAGTTAGATATTTTTCAGGTGCTTGGAATGACACTCAAAAGAACTATTCAACCATTAAAAAGGAAATTTTAAGTATTGTTTTATGTMTAAAAAAGTTCGAAGATGACTTATACATGAAACCTTTTTTATTAAGAATTGATTGTCAGTCTGCAAAACCAATTTTAGAAAATGATATAAAAAATATGATTTCAAAACAAATCTTTGCAAGATGGCAAGCCTTGCTTGGAAACTTCGATTTTCAAATTGAATTTATTAAAGGAAAAGATAATTCTTTACCAGAGTTCTTATCCAGAGAATTTCTACAGGGAAAATGACTTCTCCGTTATCTGATCAAAAGAAAAAAGCCCTTTCTCCATTCAAATCTATTCAAACTGATCGATCCATCATCCCAGTTACTCCTACTCAAAATAGATTCTCTTCTCTTTCTCAAACACCATCTCGCCCATTTTATTCAGCTCTAGTTCAAAAGTCAAGTAATGATACAACTTCATCAACATCAAAATCTATTACTCTTACTCCTCCAAAAACCATTCAAAAAACACCATTTGTCCAGAGTAGTCCTATAAAGCCTTCCACTCCAACGAAATCTGATTCAAGTTCAAGTTCTTATTTACTAAATCCCTATAATCAAACAGTCAAAATTCTTGAAGAACATGAAGTTCGTCTTCAAGGCAAAGGATTTCATGTGCTCAATGATTATCTTTTTCAGAAATATTCTTTATTCATTGGAGATTCATTTAAAACCAGAGAATATTATGAAGCAATTCTTATAGAATCTAAATCTATTCGAGTTGTTCATAGATCGAATCAAGCCAATTCTGCTCAAATCGATTTCAGTAAAGTTCAAATTCTTCATGTTCTCTCTACTCAAGATTGGGGATCTCAACTTTATTACAGCAAGCCTTTACAAAATTTTAGCCAATACCCATCCTACAACTATTATGATTATCAAGACGCATGGTACAATTTCTTGTATCTAAGAAGTTATACGCACTCATGGTTTTTGTACTTTGACAAAAATTTTGATTGCACTTATCCAAGATGGTTTGTTAGATGGTTCAAATTTTTGGGAAATATTCCTCAAACCCTTCCTCCAAGAGTAATGGAAGGATTCAAAAAATTTCAAAAAATCTTTGTTCAAGAAATTACCGAATTTGAGTTTCTTCTTCAATTTACGGTAATATTCAAAGTACCATGGATTTTATCATGGACCTTCAAAGTYAYYGATGCAACCGGTTCTTCCCCTCCATTACTACAAAGGATTTCTAGAGTAAAATGGTGGGAAAAGCTTCCAACTGATCAAATGCAAAAAATGACTGTTCAAGGAGTTTCAGACTATTATTCAATTACTTTTGGAGTTTCAGCCTCAATCTCATCTACTTCAAAGCAGAAGAAAGAAGACGATGAAATTGATCAAATTTTAGCCACTGAATCAAAAGAAGAACTCAAACGACWTCTTCAAGAACTTAGACGTCGGAGCTCTCCATCAAGCAGCTCTCCCGCTAGTTCTACGTCTCAAGTCCCAGCTTCTCAAAATTTATTTCAAGATAGTCAAGACCCTTATGAGGATTATTTTTAATCCTTAAGGTGTTGAGTGTGTTTGGGTATTGCTTTTGCAAGCAATTCTTTGTATCTATTCAAAATATATCTTATCAAAACACGTGAAATACGCYMTTTGGTATTTCCGATAACATCTTGTTCAAATCTTTTATCTTATCAAAAATATGCAGATTTATAATACGGTCAGCTGAATTTCAAGGTGATAATAATGCTCAAGGTGATAATAATGCTCTTTGCCATTATAAAAGATGTTGTTGCTTTATGAAAAATAGACGTTATGGTCATGCTTTATGCAAAGTATGAAGAATAGACGTTATGGTCAAGACATTATGGTCAAAAGCAGATTCGATATGTTGGATCCATTAAGACAACGACAAAATAGGACGATTGATTCAATTTGTCAGACAAATTCCAATTATTCAACATCAAGGCAAGGTGCCGGTTTCAAGCTCAAAAATTTTAGAAGATAACTGAAAGGTGTCAGTCATTCAATTCCAAACTTCAACTATAAAAGACGATCAAAGCTCTACAACAAGATCATCGACTCCTTTCTCAGAAAATACTCTTTTCCTCTCATAAAATTCTAGTGTTAGAATTTTTAGTATGTTATGTCAAAAAAACCCTCTCAAATTCTCAACTTCTCAATGTTTCAAATCTTTAGATTTTAATCTTACCATTGCTCCTGATGTATGCTCAAATTGTCTCGACAACAATTGTATTCAAGATTGCTTAATCAATAAAGGTATCTTTTGATCATTATGCTTGCTATTTTTAATACTATATCACTAATCTGTGTTTAATTTCATTTATGATGAACGGTCCTGTACGAATTGGTATCATATATATATATATATATAATAACATATTTGTGTGTGTGCAGACAATTGGGCGACTGAGGGGTTTTAGTTAATCATCTAATTGTGAAGTTTCCAAATTTCGACACTAAATAACAATAACAACAAATAACAATTGCAAAAGAAACACCGGACCTGGACCAGGACCGGATTGACAGTTCACTTTTAGTCCTAATTTTAAAACCAAAACCCCGGTCCAAATTAGGACCGGCTACATCTTGAACCATGACCCAGCCATCGAACCCGCACAACACCTTTACACCACCAAACCCCGATTGCACCAAAGGAACCAAATGTAACATATCAACAACACCAAATGCAAGATACCAGCTTTTTATAAACAATCCAAGAATTTCTTTGCCTTCTTTGCTGCCCCTTTTACTTCCCGGTTCACAGGATCAAGCTCCGGCGTCTTCATATACGGCATACCGTTTCTCTCCTCCGCTGGGCCCGCCCATGCTAGCGGCTCAGCTGCAACAACACGTAAAAAACCTCATTTACGTCAACCAATGAAACAATAGGCGTGTTTATAGAGACGGGAAAGCGCTCATACCAAGCTGCAAATCCAAGTTCTCTTCTGGACCAGCCCACGCTATCGGTTCAACTGCAACATGTCAATATCACATTTAGCCGAACGGATCTATCTGTTATTAAAAACCGTTTCAAAATCAAAAAAATATACCCCCGACATATGTGGGGTGTTCATGGAAACCACCACTCTTTGCTGTGTACATCCTACCCTCCCCAGACCTCACGCCTGGGTAGAGGAGATACTGGGATAAATTTAAACGTTCCCGTTATCTTTTACACATTCTATTATTATGCTTCTAAGGTATATGAAATCAATTTAAGCGTTCCGTTACTTCATTAGATATCTTTCGATAATTGAAGCTAGCATGAAATATCGTCGCGTTACGTTTCCTAGTTCGGTTAACCACCAAATCTAGCAACTCTTTTCAAAAATATAGTATTATTACTCCAAAAGCATTACCATAACTTCTTAAAGTGGAACCCTAAAATACCTGCAGAAGGTCCAAGAGATCCTGGTGTCCCGGGTCCGGGCATCTGAGTAGGACGTTTTCGCACGTAGTTCTCCCGTAAGGGTCTCGGGATTTGAAACGAAAACCGTCTTACATCAGCCACTTGTTTCTGTTCCGGGTGATTGTCCAAATACCTGCTTAGCGGAAGTAATTAGGAACCATCTCTACTTGTAACATAAGATGCAATTACTATTGAAGTGAAGAGCTGAGAACGTACCTTTGAACGTCGGGTATTGAGCGAAGTTTCGTGCCGGTTGGTGATGTATAATACCTGAGAACCATAAGATTTTACAAACCAAGTTTTTAATAATAAAGAGTTATCACAAACGAGATTCCTTAATACAGATAATGTAACAAAGTTTGGTTTAGTTTCAATTTAGTGTAACAAAGAGTTTCTTTTTCTCGACCTATGTAAAAAAGTTTCAAATTTTCCTATTTTATACCTGTTTTGACCGTCAACATGCTAATCTTGTAAGTTGTAACATATGATGACGTGGTTACCCATTCACGGAACGTTTATTGAAGGGTCCCACGAAGTGGACGACAAATTTGACATCCACATCAAATGCTACAAGATCAGCAGGTTATCGGTCAAAATGGGTAACATATGAACTTTTTGTTACAGTAAATAGGAACAAAGGCAAACTTCATTGCATTATGATGTATTTTGCCCCAAAGATTAACTACCAAAAAAAATGGAAATTTTTAGGAAGAAACTGAAAAAAGATCATACACGTCAGCAAACTTAGAGCTGCCTTCGCTTCTTAGCCTCAAAAGCCTCTTCCATCCAGGAGGCGGCTGTGCGATATTGGGTTTGTCAATAGCCCATATTCTGGTGCCATCTTGCTCGAGATCAGTCGGTTCATCACATGAAATTTCACGATCCCATTCACGAGTTGTTTCACATGTGAACGGTTGGTCAGTAATGTGTTCCCGTATGACCTCATATCTTTCCTGATCCGGGATGAGTCGCCATTTAAAGCAGTTAGCACACTGGACAGTGAAAGCACCTACCTCAGGGACTACTTTTCGATTATCGAAAACTTGTCTAGAAACCGATCCGCGTTCGGGATTCTGGACAGCTTCGATTGCCTCTGAACCATTCACAGAAGGATCATAGAGAACCATCTGTTTCCGAGAATCATCATAAGATGGGGTACGTACATCCTCCTCGGTGCTATAATCGGAAGAAGAAACATCCACAATGTTCTGATCTGTTCCCTTGCTATCACCATTGGAAGGAACTTTAGGTCCATCGAGGACACTATGGTCTTTTTCTACGCTTTCTTGATGACCCTGAACGGTTGATGCCTTGATTTCATGCACTTTTCCTCCCATTTTAATGGTGATTTTGGTAGGACGCGACTGCATTGGTACAAGTCGGAAATTACCCTGATGCAGATATAACAAATATTCAAGAGTTTCCCAACTTTAAACTCTGTTACAAAAGTAAATAGGCACACAGTTCTAGAAATTTGTAATTGTTACACTTTCTAATAAACCAAATGACAATTTCAGTCTTAATAATAGAGCGTAATGAATTTCTCCATCTCATAATTAAGGGTAGAATTGGAAAGCGGGGACTAACTTTTTGAAAGTGGACATTTATTTTGGAACAAATGGGATGAAGGGAAGAAGAGAGACTTCCCTTATTTCAATACACTCCTTATAATCTACGGTGTTCAGCCCCTCTACTATTTGGGGTAGATGACAAGTCTGCATACATCCCACCCTGAGACCCTAATCCGAGTGGGATATACCGGGTTAGTATAGTGCGGTTTGGTTAATCTACGGTGTTTACATCAAAATAACTTAACTATTTAGGCTAGCTTTCACTACATATCCCAGTTAATAAAGAAAGCAAACTGCTGCACCACCGGAGATAATAACTTGTCCCTTTTAAATATTTTACGACAATAATTGTCTACTAATAATAACGATCGCCTTTCTAGTTGTTTTGGCATACAATGAAAACTTCCAAATCAGTCTAAATCTATTTCCGTCGACATATTTAATTTGCATGCCATAAACAATGGCAAATCCAGAGTAGAAGTGTATGCAGCATTCTATCTTATCCGTGGTGGCTTAAAGCAAATTCTTTTATATGTTCTTGGACCAATATGATGTTCATTACCTGATTTTTAAATCACGCAACATGTTTAGACAACAAAACAAAGCATTTCCATGAATTTCAGCAAAGTATTGCGGTTAAAGTTGGTTGAAACTACATGAACCTTCAGAAAAAGAACAAGTGATTCAATTCCGAAGGAATCACCTTGTGAAAAGTGCCTGCTACATATCTCACTCGAAAGTAGGCTCTGGAGGGGTAGGATCAGATGTTTCTCTACCCCAAGGGGTAGAAAGACTGTTCCCGTAACCATGAACATTTATTTCAAAGAAAGAAATCATATGAAAGAAAAGAGTGGATTTCTAAGAGTCCGAAGATAAAATAGTTCATGCTATTTCGCCTCACTTTCATACTTAACCTATGTTGTAAATCACTCTCATACCTTCACATATGAATATAAGCTTGCCCACTTGATATTACCAAAACCACAATACTCTTCGTTAGCTTTAGATCCTTTTTGACATATAATACAATTAAATGACATGGTAAGCTATAATACGGCAACTTGTGATTCCCTATACTTGTTTATATCGTCATCTTATACCAAAGAAAGTTTTTCATTAGATAAAGTTACAATCTTTTGTCTTACACTTGGTCCAATAAACAGTTCTTGGAATATTTTTCTTGCTATAAATCAAGTACTTTACTATCCAGACCTCAATACTTGAGAACGAGTCTCCATCGATATCTATACTGCATGCATTTATGTTTCAGTAAGACTTTGAAAAACAAAGAACTCTCGGAGGCAGATCGAAAGTGAACACAATCATTTAAATAACAGTGGGAAAGATGTATACTGATTAGGGCAGCACAAGGGTTGGGGTGGCTGGCTGGGTTGAAGGCATTTGAACAGCCCAACCCAACCCGACCCAAACCGTGTGGGGAGGGATGGGATGGGTTGGGTTGGTCAGGTTAGTTAGGTTGAAACCTTTTATTTTGAAGTATATAAAATTTATATACGGCAAATGCAACAAATAAACTCACACACCCTCCTCACCTTTGGTGAGGTTTGAAGCCCTGGCCTCCTAGGAGACCAAAGACTACGATACTGCTAGGCCAAAGGCCCTTTGGTTAGTTGGGTTGAAACTTTGGTACATCATTTTACAACCTAGCTAAGCCAACTGGATTCTTACAATCTAGCCAACCCTGATACAGATTATTCCACTGGATTAAAAGCTTGCTATAAGAAAACGACAATATCCACCATCAACAAAAGCAAATACCGCTTACCTCTTTAGGTTGGAAAAACGGAAAAAAGTTAACTTTGCAGAGTTGTATTCACGACTTGAGCTCCATGATTGCTTTTTATCCTAAATGCTGAAACAATATCAAAAATTAATATTCAAACGATGTTTTCCGATCCCTTCAAATAATAATGGATAGAGATGCGTACATTTATCTCTTTTGTGTGCTTGCAAAACACATAAAATGGATCACATTCTTGAGTTGAAATTTGCTGAAAAGAAAATTAATTCAAGAAACAAACCATTATAGTAATCGAAGATGTTCTAAGTTCAGAATAAATCCTTCGAAAGAATGCTCTGTAAAAGATTTTTGTTAGACCACTACCACTTTCACAATCCCTAAACCCTATCTACAAGAACTGAAATTTTCCAAATTGACTGAATTCTGATTACCGTTACAAGAAGGTAATTTGTTACATGATTACTGTCAATTAAGCAATGCAACATAATCTTTGATTACTATCCTATTTGGGTCCACAATCGCATAAATGTGCTTGCAGAGACACAGAAGTAGCTTATAAATCATGAAAAAAACAAACCCAAAAAGGGTAAATTCAGTATAAATCCTTGGACAGAAGACCGCTCGTGAAATATAATGTTATCATCAGTAACAATAAAAAGCCATTAAAGAATCAAAGCCCTAGCTATATAAAGAAACATCCGTTTATACGCAGCTCAAAATGTGGTTGCTAAAACAGATAAAGAACATACACACACATCTCGTTGTGTGCTCATGTAACACGTAAGCGTTGAATGTTAAGTGCAAAATTAACAAAGAGACCGCAACTCAAAATGAAACTTAGAGAGTGAACCCTAAAAGAGCAATAAAATAAATTTCCACATAGGATGCTCATGTGTAAAGATTCATGTTAGATCTGTATCAAAACTTCAAGAATGACAAAAACCCATAGGCAAAATGACTAAACCCTACTATAAACAGAATCAAGATAGAAAGAAAAACCAATTAACATGTTCATAAGACAACTTTCAAATGTGCTTAAATCAAGAAACAGGTATATATACATACATATATATATATATATGCATCTTTGTGTTTGCTTGTGATACATGTAAAATCATAAGAAAATGCCATTAAAAAAAACCCAACTTCAAAATGAACCCAGAAACTCTGATTCAAAACAAATTCATAGAGAAATAACACACTCAAATTTTAAAGACTCATGTTGGATCACTGGGAATGTTCCAAAACTTATAAAACCCTACCCAGAAACACAATCAAACATACAAAAAGAAAACCCAATTAACATCCCCCATAGTTAAGATGGTGCAAATGAACAAAATGCTTGTTTCATGTCTCCTGCAAGAAAACAGATTTAAGAACCCCACAAGAAAATTGATGAAATAGAACCCAAAAGACAAAAAAAATCAAAACAAATCCCGTAAAGGATGCTGATACAAGCAGAGTCATGCTGGATCGGTTATCAGAGTGTCAAGAACACTAAAAAAACACTTGTAGAAACCACTAAACCCTAGTCGATCAGAAATGGTCATTGGTAGCTCAAAACCCCCAAAACAAAAACGACAACAAACAGAAACAATCCACGATGCTTTGTCGATTACAAATAATCTGACAGAAACAAAGGATTTCAGCAACAAATCTAGAATTCAACTAAAAGATTAGAAGAAAAGATAGCTGGTTTTGCTTCGATAACTAGCAAAGATTACTTACTAAAGAGTAAAACAGAAGATCTGAGGTGCAAGATTGAAATTGAGGTGATCAACAGGCGTCGATTATCACAAAGATTGAGGCTTTATGCAGTAAAGATGTGATTAAATCTGTGGGTTTGGGTGTGGATTTGGATTGGAAGAGAGGGTGAGAGCAGATATATAACATCTGATCTATAAATGCTCTTCAACAAACAAAGAGATGGAATTTAGAGATTCATGAATCGGGTTCAGAAAATCTTTCCATGGATATGAGAAAATAAAATACATGACTCATCTTCAAAAAATATCACCTTAATTACCACAAATCTTTCTTCTTCTATAAATCTTACATTTAAGTCATAGATGTCATCGTTTTTCTAATTAACAGATTTGTTTAAAATCAATAAATTAAAATAATCGATTATTAAAACTGATATTGTAACAGTGTCATAAAGTAAGGAGGTTGATTTTATTACAAATAATTAAAAATTAATAAACTCTGTAATTTATATTTAAAAAAKATTACGTTTAGTTTTAATAATTAATTATAATTAATTATTATAGAGATATATATATATATATATAATATTTTATTATTTATTTAATTCAAAAGTTTTATTCTAATTAAAATATTGTAAATTTAAAAAAAATTATTCATGTTCTTAAAAAGAAGAGAAAGAAACGGAAACATGTCATTTTTATTAATACGTCCTTTAAAAATATATTTTTTAATATAAAAAATTAGATAATTTTGAATTTTATGATTTTATATTAATTTCTTTCATTTTCTTTCCTTCTTTTTTCTTCCATATTTGAGAGGAAAGTTTTGGCAGAAAACTTATCATTATTTTGTTTTTTCCTTTTACGTAAAAAAGTGTCAAGAATACAAGTTTTTTTACTTATTCCCCTTTCCCTCACTTTTCTTCGTAAAAAATGTTTCAGTAACACAATGCTGATAATATGTTTTTAAGAGTTTTTTTTAATGTCGTAGCAGAAAATCTCTGACCAAAACAGAGAAAAATGAGGTTTTTGAAGTTTTTTTTAGTTCCAGTAACGATTTCTTTAAAATAGAGAAAGAAAAAGCAGGAAAAAAAATAATCTTCTATAAATTTGGTGATTTTTTAAAAATCTCCATTCTGCTATTTCCAACCAAATGAAATAAATGGAAAAAGAATATTCTTATTATATTATTAAATATTTTAATAATATAAAAGGTTAGAAATATTTAAAATAGAAAACATGTTGGAATTAAATGTATTACTTTTGAAATGTTAACCTTTTTATATTAAAATAATTGTTGGAAATAATTTATATTAATAATTAAGCAATTAAATAAATATTTATTTAAAATATGCTTTGACCCCAAATATTAATATGTGTATGACTTTATATGTTTGATTTTTGTCAAGCATATTAATATTATTAAACTTAATAGTCGTTTATTAAACACTTACCCGGTAAGCACTTATCGGTAAAATTCAATACTATCGCTTACTTACCGAATAAGATTTTATTCATTAAAGCGCATCGTATGCAACAATTTATCCCGGTAAGCGCTAACCATGGTAAGAGTTTTCGTCTTCACTTACCGAGTAAGACTCTCGATTCTTGCTTCCGCTCTTACCGGGTAAGATTTTTAGTCTTTGTCATATTCATCCATTAAAGTAAATCACTTGGGGGTGTTTAAGATTACTTATAAAAACAACTTATTGACTTTATTTCAGTGTGACACTGGTCATAAGCACTTTTGAGTGTTTTGATAAACAATTTATACTGGTGCGAAACCAATAATAAGGAGTTTTTGAAGAAGTTAAACCTTTCTGGCTTATAATAAGTTGATAAGTGTTTTTGAAGAAAAGCATAAGTTGTTTCAAATAAGCAATCCCAAACAGCCCCTTGGTAAGCGCTTACTCGGGTAAGTGTTTGGTAAACGGCACATTAGTGATTAGAAACAAAAATTAAATTATTTGTCACGATTATTAAAATCCTAATCAAACAACATATCGCTTCTGATTAATTTTGAAAGTTTGAGAAATTCTGATAATTCAGTGAAGAAACAGATAAGACGGTATTCAAATGAGTATAATTAATTAATTTTATTTATCTGTTTGATGATCTTTACTGAAACTAGTATCAAATAATTATTTAAAATAGCTATTTGATATGTTAGAAATCTTTAATAGCTTTTTTTTATTATAAAAGATAGAGGTTTTAACGGTTTGTTTTTTAAGATTATGTTTGAAATTTTTTCTCTAAAATGAAGAAAGCCAGAAAGGTATTAAGAAAGAACGAGTCATTGTCCATATTTAAAGGAACTAGAAATTTACCCGCACAATGCAGCGAGATAAATCTCGATTTTAGTTTTCGTTTCTTTTTGTCTTAGTCGATGTTATAATACGGTCTATGTAGTTTTGAGAAAGCAATAATGTATTTATTTATGAATAAAATATAAATATGAAGATATCATAAAAAATAAAAAAATATTGATACTAGTATCAGACTAACTATTTAGAATTTTTGCTTTTTTATGTATTTATTTACATCATATTTTTATTTTTGGTTTACTAATATAATTTTTTATAAAAATAATAATTAAATACTTAGTTAAAACTCAATGATTATCTTGATTATATTTTAGTTTTTTTATATTTAAATGAAATGTTTATCCTCCATTTGATTATGTTTATCTGAAGTTAGTTACACGAATTCAAACATGAAGCTTTAATAAGTTGTACTTCTGCACAATTTACTTGTAATTTTGAATTTTAAATAATATGCATCAATAAACAGTACTTTATGTATAAAAAATAGTTTTTAAGAGTTTTTATCAAATGTTTTATAATATAGTATAATTATTTGCAATAACAGATTGTTTAAAATCAATAAATTAAAATAATCAATTATTAAAACTAATATTGTAACAGTGTCATAAAGCAAGGAGGATGATTTTATTATAAATAGAGAAT